ATGATATGATATATATGTACATATATCGTATATGTGTATATGTATGATATATATGTATATATTACATATATATGTTTATTTATTTGAATAACAGGATGGATGGAGGTGGATGGATGTACCACTGCAGGGGACCAGGACTATAGTCACTACAAATGGAAGATCATGAAAAAATTCTTGCCACATGGCTTTGGGACATGATTCTATACTTTATTTGAACAGCAATAGAGCTAATATTTTTGGAACTGTGATGTATCATGGAAGGATGAAGCCACCTGAAACAAACAATTCTGGCAGAGCTGAGAACGGGACCAGTTTCCCCCATCCTCTTTGAGTCGGAAACATCACCCCCAGACTACTCTGGACAGGGGAGATAGTAAGCACAATACAGAGAAGGCTTTGGGCATTTTACATCAAAGGAAGCATTTCGTTCTACAAGGTGTTTTCCTCGGCTTCATTTACATTTACTCCCAGTCATATAAAATCGAAGAAGACAGGGGCATCACATACGTCAAAGAGATTTATCATTCGTAGTGTTTAATAAAGTCAGTAAAACCTTGAAAGCAAGATCCTTTCCTGTTAGCAGATCCACCTGGGGACAGTAAGAGTTGGATGAGTAATTCTTCCCATGCACCCAGCAGGGCTCCCCACAGCTTGTCCAGTGCAGTCTAGGAAAATGCCTGGACAGGCGCAGACCAAGCCAGGGCGCTGAGAGAGAGCACGGGTGCTCCCTACACAGACCCCAAGGACAGTGTGCTATCCCTAAGGCCCCCAGTGTTGAGACTCCCCATGTGGGGTCCCTCACTTCTCCCCCAAAGCAGCAGGGTCCTTGAAGACCTCAGCATCTTCTGGCTTGAGGGACCCTGCAAAGTGCTTCAGATGAACTTCCTCAGGCTGGGCAGGATGCCTTTCTCGAGTACTTGCTTCTCTTAAAAGGGGAACCAGAGCAAAGTTCTTCCAGGTTCTCCCTGAAACTGAAGGGTAAAACATCATTACTGCCTTGAATGCAGCAAAACAAGAATCAATATTTATTTGTGGGACTTAACCAATTCCCGGGTAAGAAGACCCAGGCATGTCAGTGCTTCCTGAGGCACCCAGATCACTTCCATGTCCTCTCTCCTCAGCTGCTCAAGGAACCTCATCCACCCTGGCAGCTCATTAAATCCTCTTCCTCTGCCCGCCCTGACTTGCTTGTGGCCCCATGAGGGTCCACTGCTTGCCTGTCTTGCCTCCATGTCCTCTGTGGGAGGGAGAGCTGGTCTCCACAGAGCAACACTGGGGCCTGCTTCATGAATGGCCCCACACCGCGTCAGGGGTAGGGTGATGAACACCAGCCAAAGAATCAGGATTGGGGGGGTCCAGGTGCCTCCAGAGCATCGCATATTGGGAACAATGCTGAGGGAAGCATGGTGACACTAGGCTTCGAATGGGGATCTCACATGTGGCCTGTAATTCCAGGAAGCTCCTGAGAAGGATCCAGTTGTCACCCTCATAGCTACCTCCAGCCCCCAGCCACCTCAGAGAAATGACAGCCAGGAGGGAAAGCTGTGTGTCTCTCTTTCCATTTGTCAGAGCCTTGGTCAGCCAAGCCATCTGATTGGTCACACCTCCACCCTCAGGCCACAACTCAGGCCCCTCTGCTGGTGTCCAATACTGGCCAAATCTTAAAGGCACCAGGAAAGCTGAGGCTGAGGCCATCATAACCACTCCGGCTGAGTTCTCCAGGTCCTGGAGTTTACCCCAGGCTCACAGGCTGGCACTGGCATGTCCCCCAACCCCGGTCTGACACTAAGCACCAGTATTGCTGAAGGAGGACCCCCTCAGGGGACCCAGGCATAGAAGCATGAGGGTGCCATGGAGAGAGGCCAGGCGCTCACTGAGACATCATCTTCTGAGTGGCTGGGTGGTGGGAACACCCAGACTCAGGGATTTCTTGGCCCAGCTCCAGGTCCAGCTTCAGGGTCCTCAAAGGAAGTATGGGATTTCCAGTGCCCACTTCCCACAGGCCTGATGCAAAGGCCCTCTCAGGTGCTCTCCCTAGTTCAGCTACAGACCACTTTTCTTTTCTGGCCTTTCTTGCATTCCCTCACCTCTTCCCAATTACATGTACCATGTGGATGGGGAGAGGTCCTTGTTATCTGAATTATCTGACTATTCATACTGGGGTTTTCATGGTTAGAAAGTTGTATAGAAAAGTAAAATCCTCAGGAAATATTTGCTAAGTAAATATAAGTATGAAATCAGGGAACCTCTACCCATCCCCCATCCCCACCCCAACGAACACGAATGTGCATATCCCTGCCACCAGGTCACTGTCTTTAATATCACAGTGAATGTACAAGGTCTTAAACAGCCAACAATGTCATGCAAACAATGCAAAGCAACTTTAAGGTGTAACAGCATATCTTGTAAAAGATGTGGGATTTCACAAAATCAATAAGAGTAGTTTTGGAAAACTGCTCAAATCACATGCAAAGCCCTCTTCAAATGGCTCTGTGACAAAGTAACCATTGAAGAAGAGATCATCAATAAGTATTATGAAATGGCACAGGGAGTGCTTCCAGTGAGACTTGTGGGGAAATTATAGGATTGCAGGAGGCTCTCAGGAAAACTGATCAAACCTTTGACTAGTTTTCCAAAAGTCAGCCTCTCAATGAAATAGATTTCCACTTCCAGCCCTGATGGAGTATCTAGTACTGGGCTAGCCATCCTGCTGTAAACCACCAGACCAGAAAACAGGACAAAATACATGCAGCAAATACATGTATGCCCTATGTTTTCAGGCATAGGGCAACAGGCAGTGAAAACTGCAATTGCTGAAAGAAGTGAAATTCACATGGTGAGTCCCGTGATCACCCTGATGTTTTGTTTAGGGACAAGTTCTCTGACTACGTATGGTTCACTGAGCTGGAGTCCAAGCAGAGTGTGTCAGTGCCTCTGAGCTAAGGTAGAAGAGATCAGAGTCCTGGGCAGCTGAAGCAGCTAGAATATGTGGACTAGGGCACAGGAGAAGAGGAAGAAGGGAGCTGGGAGGGGCAGTGGTTCAGAAGTCTTTGGAGTAGGGTCCGCCCAAGTCCTTGGCTGAGAGCTGAGCTGTGATTGTACAGGGTGAGACTGCACGAGGCTTACCAGAGAGTGGCTGTTATGGGGTTGAAAGTGGGACAGAGATGCTAGAAACTGAGCAGTACTAAGGGATATTGGCGATCCAGCTCAGCCAGAGTGGAGAGACCTCCTTAACACCCCTCCTCTACTCTGAGGATAAAACTAAAATACCAGAAATATTCTACTTACTTTACATGCCCTAGAGTAGGATCTACTCAAAACCTACCCAACAAAGCCTAAAACCAAGCCGTGACAAGGTCCTCAGTGGAAAATTTGGAAGCTGAATCCCACAAGTTTGATGGGATTGGCACATACCTTGGGCTACCCGCAGAGCTACCATAATAAAGAAACTAATCCTACACAAGCTCAAGGTAATTCATCAGTAATGGAACCACCAATTAGAACAAAAATCCAATCAAGTGTCTCTACAATATATTTTCCACAATGCCCAGTATACAATTTAAAGTTATTATTAACAAAATGCAAAGAAATAGAGGAATGTGACTCACAGTCAGGAAAAAAACAAAAAAACCAGTCAATAGAAACTGACCCCAACATGGCCCAGATGTTGGATTTAGCAGAGAATTTAAAGCAGCTATTATAAATATGTTCTAAGAACCAAAGGAAAACATGGTCTTAATGAGGCAACAGTTAAGAAATCTCAGAAGAAAAATGGAAACTAAAAAAACATATAGAAGTTCTAAAACTGAATAGCATAATACTCAAAATGTAATCACCATGCGCTTATTATCAGTTTAGAAAAAGTCAGTGAACTTGAAAACAGATCAATAGAAACTATCAATTTTGAGAAACAGAAAAAAATTGGGGAAAGAATGAACAAAAGCTCAAATACCTAAGGGAACAATATCAAATGATCTAATATACATGTAATTGGAGTCCCAAAAGGAGAAGATCCGGGAGAATAAAGCAAAATATATATAGTTTCCCAATTTGGTGAAACATTGATATGCAGATCCAAGAGAGATTCTAAGCAGATTCTAAACCTTAAGCAGGATAAAACTAAAAAAAAAAACATACGTAAGCACATCTTAATCAAACTGCTGAAAACATGTTGTCTTACAGCTTTGTCCTCAGCCGCCCCTACACACACACACACACACACACACACACATACACCAACCCCTGACCTCATGGGGTCACGAGGGAGTGTCTCGGAACGCTGAGACCCAACGGAATGATGTCGGTTATCTGCCTTATTTTTATGGTTGCAGTACAGCTGCATCATCCTGGAGGTTGTATGTATGTGGGAGTATAAAGGCACAGCAGGTGTTGGAATACAATGGAACTGGTTGATGGAAAATAACCATAAGGCACTTATCACACGGACTTTACAAAAAACAAGTTTCACTTCCCTGAAATTTCTTAATAAAAGCTACACGTTGGCCCGATTTGGGGCTCAGTCCCAGAGAGGCTGCAGCCCCCTGGCCCCGCTTTAACTCTATCCTTGACGTTTGTGTTTCTTTAACCCTGTGCCACCCCTCTCACTCCCCACCGCCCTTGCTGTGGGGGACGCGGCAAAAACCAAAACTAAAAAGAATATTTTGAAAGCAATCAGAGAAAAAGAGACACAGTACAGACGAGAAACCAATAATGGGTGACTTTTCATCAGAAACTATGGAGGCCCGAAGGCAGTATAGAAGCATAGTTAAAGTGTTCTGATTTTAAAAAGGAAAAAAAACACCTGTTAACCCAGAATTCTATATCCAGTGAAAATATCCTTCATGACTATGAAATTGACATTTTCAGGTTAAAAAAAAAAGCTGACATAAAACTAATCTATACAATTAAGTCCTCGTTTAACTTCCTTGTCCATGGGTTCTGTGAGTTTAAGTGAAATGACTTATAATCAAACTAATTTTACCAAAGGTTAATTGATATAAACAAGAGTTAAGTTCCTATGACATTGTATTTGGCAATGATTTCTTGGATAAGTCATCAAAAGAACAGGCAACAAAAGAAAAAAATAAACTGGGCTTCATTGAAATTTAAAACTTTCATACATCCAAGGACTCTATTAAGAAAGTAAAAAGAGGGGCCAGCCGAGTGGCGTGATGGTTAAGAGCTGGCTTGGGATGCCAGAGGGCCCCGGTTCGGATCCCACATATGAGGGCCAGTGACACTGCCCTCTAC